AAAAAAAAAAAAAAAAAGAAAGAAATGGAGAGCTCACGCTGAAAGGACTGAAGGGAAAACCACAGTGCCTAAGGGATTAAAGAAGGCTCTGGAGAAAGGAGAACCCAAATCAGAGTTAGCCCTGAAAAGAGATCAGTCAGTTGTCTACAGACATAGAAACAAGGGAAGAAAGAGGAGCGGATTTGGAGTGAAGACATTGGCGAGAGATGCTGGCAGAGCCCATGCCGAAGGGCCTCGATATTTTCACTGAAGATGTTGAAGGAAGAGTCATTTCCCCACAGCAAGAGGGAAGATTTGTTGGTAGTCTTGGGAAGAAACCTGAAATAGTCACCACCAGGAAGGATGAAGAGTCAATAAGAAAGGAATAAAAGGCATGAGTAATAATAAATAGACATATAAGAACCAAATTCAGTCTTACAGAATCCACTTAGGGCACTAACCCACTATATAAGAGACAGCACGTTCAAGCTGTCACATACCTGAGGTGGGCTTAGACCACTGCAAGTCAACAGCGACAAGGTCCTCCAGCTCCTGCTCTGCTTGAATGGGAGAGACGGAGAGGATGCGGACAGACTGATAGGCAGCAGTGTTAGACAACTCCCTTGTAGCATTAAATACCTGGAAAAGAAATTGAAACATCATTTAACCTAGCTGGTGGTGAACTAGCCTGACACCTCTTAGTAAACATCAATCCTCTGAGCTGCTAAGCCTTCAATATACTGAGATCATATTAATAAACCAAAATCAACGGGCTGGACTGAATCACCTTGATCCACTTTTACCAAAAGAGACCACGATGAATCATGTTCCCAAAGAGGGTAGGAACATAATGAAATCTGTGATCTTAAGGAGCAGGTCTATGTTAGACAAGAGGAGCTGTGAAGTAGCTTAGGCTAAAGAATATTGCCCAGCACTTACAACACTCTGATACCTTGAAACTAAATACTTCTACTCTGAAAAAGTATCTCATAACACAAAACCAGACCAATTAACTTCTTTTTAAAATGGTGCTTAGGATACTATGTGGAACCAAGAAGGCCGTGAGGAGGTAGATTTGTCTAATCCACACCACACAAGAGAAGCCTGCTCAAAAGAAACACAGCTGAGAAATGACTGTTGAACTACTGAAACATAGTTGAACAACTGAACCATACTGGAATAAGTCTCAAAATGCATATACAGTTATCCTTTGTATCCACATGGCATTGGTTCCAGGAACCACACACTCCCACCCCCGGCCAAACCCCAGCACATCAAAATCTGAGGATTTTCAAGCCCCTTGTATAAAATGGCATATTTGTTTATAGCCTACAAACATCCTCCTGTATACTTTAAATCATCTCTAGATTACTTATACCTAATGCAATGTAAATGCTATGTAAATATTTGTTATATATGTTAAGCAACCCTAATCTGAAAATCCAAAATCCAAAATGCCCCCAAATCCAAAATTTTTAGTGTGCCAACATGATGTCAACAAGCGGAAAATTCCACACATAAATAACACAAATTTTGTTTCATGCACAAACTTATTTTAAAATATTGTACAAAATTACCTTCAGGCTATGCGTATAAGGTATATAGGAAACATAAATGAATTTCAGGTTTAGACTCGGGTCCTGTCCCCAAGATATCTCATTATGTCTATGAAAATATTGCAAAATCCAAAAAAAAATCCGAAATCTAAAACACTTCCAATCTCAAGCAGCTTCAGAAAAGGGATACTCAACCCATATGTATTGTTTGTTCAATGTGTATTATTTATTGTTGTATGTCACTTTTAATTTTAATTCTTCAAAAATTTTCTATCCATGGCTGGTTGAATCTGCACATGTGGAACTGGTGGATACT